AGCAGGGAGTCCACCCCAAAGGCCGAGATGACAATGAACAGGCCGTACATGCTGTTGATCGTGGTGTCACCACAGGGCAGGCGGATCAGGTCTGGATGCAGGCAGTAGGAATGGGTCAGCACGTTGGCCTTGCAGAAGGGCAGCCTCTTCAGAAGAAAGGAAAGTGGGAAGACCATGCAGAAGCTGCGGACGATGATAGATATGCCCATGTGGGCTACCCGCGCATCCGTGAGCACTGAGGAATAGCGCAGGGGACTACAGATAGCCACATAGCGGTCAAAACTCATAGCCAACAAGATCCCAGATTCCATCCACGAGAAAAAGTGGATGAAAAACATCTGGGCAAGGCAAGCATCAAAAGCAATCTCTGTGGCATGAAAACAAACAGAAGCCAGTACGGTGGGCAACGTGGAAAGAGACACCCCCAGGTCATTGACAGACAGAAGAGACAGGAAGTAGTACATTGGTTGATGTAAACTCTGCTCCTCCTTTATGATAAAGAGAATGAGGGTGTTGCCCAGGATAGAGATGGCATAAAGCAGCAGGAGGAGGGCAGCCAGCCAGTGCTCCAGGTTTTCCATCTCTGGAAAGCCTGTTAATGTGAAGCTGGTGGTGCTCGAGATGTTAGTCCTAAAGCTTTTCATAAGGGTTTCAGAATGGCTATTAAGGAAATACAAGAAAATGAGGTCAGACAGTGGAAGTCATGAACATCAGGAGCAGTCAATGTCTTGGTATAGAACTGACAATGAAGGGCTGGGAAGGTGGCTCAGTGGTAGAATGCTTGCCTTGCATGCATGAGGCCCTGGGTTCAATTCCTCAGCACCACATAAACAGAAAAAGCTGGAAGTGACATTGTAGCTCAAGTGGTAGAGTGCTAACCTTGAGCAAATAAAACAGCTCAGGGACAGTACCAAGACCCTGAATTCAAGCCTGAGGACCAGCAAAAACAATTCGAATTGACAATGATTTCTGGATACAATTCAAAAGACCATGGGAAGACCAGGAAAAAGAAAAGTTACAGGCTGGGAAGGTGGCTCAGTGGTAGAGTGTTTGCCTCACATGTGTGAAGCCCTAGGTTTGATTCCTCAGTACCACATACACAGAAAAAGCCAGAAGTGTTGCTGTGGTTCAAGCGGTAGAACATTAACCTTGAGCTGAAGAGCTGAGAGACAGAGCCTACGCCCAGAGTTCAGACCCCACGACTGACCAAAAAAGAAAGAAAAAGAAAGTTATATTTCAAACTACTTACTATCTAGCCATATCTCCACATCTGTCATGAACTCCAACACTTGCCTCAGAGAAATTCTTTCTCTGACTCCTTTTTTGGACATTATTCTTTATTCTTCCATGATCATGTTCTTTATAGTAATATATAGGTAACATAATATAATCATCATGTTATAATGATGGAAAACGATTTTATCTTTCTACAACACTCCAACCACCACTTTCTTCTGTAAGTGAGGTAAAGTCATTCTTAATGAATCTGTTTTGTTTTATTTTTTGTCACTCTCTTCCTACCAATTTATTGTCTTCTAGGCATCTGCTAGCACTTTTTTACTGTACTGTAAGAGGTCTCTCCTCTACTTTCACACAAATATTATTCCAATCCCTCATCTTCTCTTTGTTGCTTGAGCCCCTCATTAATTCTCTAGAGGCTTGTTCTTTATGCTTCACCAATTTTGGGGTTTTTTATCCTTAATATGATTGCATGGAAGTTCTTTTTCTTTTCTGTAGCTATAAGATTCTCAAAATCTAAATGTATGTCAGATTCACTTGGAGAACTTTTAAAATGTATGTCAGATTCACTTGGAGAACTTTTAAATTAGGCTTTGTTCAAGCCACACCCATAACCATGAAATCTGAAACTCTGCAGATAAAACTTAGAAAATCAACATTTGTCACTGCTTTGGTTTTTTAATCCTCCAGGTAATTCCAATATGTAGCAAAGTTTGGGAATCACAGGCTTATATTAATCGAATCCACAATCAAATATGTCCCACCCTGACTAAACTCTTCTTCATGGAAGATTAAATCCAGGAGCTAAATCATTGGAAACAGTGTCAAGTAATATCGAGCTAATCATTTTTTCATGTCCTTTAGCAATCACTTACTTCTCTGCTCACTTGTATGACGATTTTCCAGGTTATTTTCCATTCATGAGATTCTCCTAATTTCTCCTCTGTACCCCAAATTTATATAGCATAGTTATGACTTTTAGCTATTTTACATCAATTCCCAATTATTTATATTTCAAATATGATGTAGGAAGTTTACCATTTTGTCTGTCACTGTGCTTCACCCTGTTCATCATCTCATTCAATTCCTTCTCCATCTATCTCAATGCTCGTGTGAGAACAGAAAAGAAGACATCCTTCATTCTCCTCTACTCACAGCTCTAACTAATCTCTTGTCCGATGTTTGATGGATATATAATGCTAATGTCTTTATCTTACTTCTGAAGGTTACCCAACTCTCATCACCTGTAACCAGGATGCAGGTAGAATCTTCCTTGTTGACCACTGACTGGCTCAATGCCATTCCTCTCTCTACTCCGTTCTGCATAAAGGAGCCACATTGTTTGCAAACAAATTAAGTACAGTGATGCTGCACTCTTACTTAAAAAAAATGCCAATTTGTTTCTTTGCTTTTTGAAAGAAAAAGGTAATTTAATTAAGAATACAAAATGAATACAAACACAAAAGACCACAAAGGCAAACCCCATAACTGTAGAATGTTTAGGAATAGAAGTGACAACAGAAGAAAACTAAAATCCGTCAACTTAAATAACTGACAGCCTCTTACTTACATCTTTTATCTCAGTCATGTGAGATTTTGAAGCTATGAATGAGATTCTAAAGGCCTCTGTGAGAGGAGAGATAAAGTCTAAACTTACCTCCTTATAGGAGCTCTGATAAATGAGAACAGAAGGACAGGAGAGGTACTCACGAAAGAGAAAAAGTACAAGACCCCGCATACTCTGAACACAATCTTACACACCACCCTACTGCCAGCTTCCATCCACTCCCTCCTCCACGTTCTATTAAACCATTTCTTAAGGTTCCCTTGGGTCTAGTAAACAGAGCTCAAAGAAATGGTAGGGGTAATATAGAGTGTGAAAAATCTTGATTAGGTGACTCCTTTGTATCCTATTGTTTTTCCCTTCTGTGGTTTCAAAAGAATGATGGGTGAACTTTGAGTAGTCATGGAATGATCAACATCTTCAGCTTTTCATTTTGTAAACCTAAAATCCAAAAGAACTGTGTCAGTACACCAGCCATAGAGCTGGATAGAATCTCATTTTAACAAATGCTCATTAATTTGTAGATTAGGATTCTTTTCACTAGCCATGCCACAACCTAAATAGGTTTCAAGAAATAAAATAAGATAGCTAAAAATCCATTAATAGGGTGAGCATCTCAGTTCGCTTCAAACTCTGTAGGTTTTAACACTGAAAGTCTTTCACCTAGAAATCTTATCTATCTCTGCACACTTGAGACAGTGTGTTGCTTTATGCACAGAACCAGATTCAAATCCAACTCCTCGGTCTGTGGGAACATCATTAAGTAGGCTATTGGCTTATTTCTGTTTCAAATTCCTCCCTTGTAGAATGGAACATTTATCATTGTGATACAATGTCATATGTCAAATTCTCATGAAATAAAAATACCTAGAGTGTCTGTAAGTACCGCCTAAGGATAAAGCAAATACTAAGCTGGCAATTATGAAAAATAAATGTTGCAGCTCTGAAGAGTTTAGTAGTAGGCTCTGTTAGATTAAGGAGGCCTTACAGATGACAACTTCACAAGACATGTCACTCACTGTCAGTGTGCTGACAGTGCTTAAATACATTCACTTGTATTGTATGTCTTACTTAAAATTGCTTTGTATACATCTTGTAAAAAAACAATATCTAGAAAGACATTCATTTTTCATATGGATGGAAATGCTAATTAATTCTGATGTTTCTGAGCTCGGCATGAACTCTTAGTTGTTAACTTCAAGATTTTACAATTAGAAAGCATCTTGAGCTGCCTTATACCACAAGTAAACTTTTATAATGGAGAAACTGAGATGTGAAAGAATAAAGAGCTTGCTCATGTGCACACAGACATAATTTAACCACGGGTATCCTGCTTTGGGCCCAAATATTACCACTGCTCATGCTGTGTCTTAGTACCACAGCTGAAAAGAGAGGAAGAAAAGAAGAGATGTATACTGAGTACTCACTCTGTGTCTAGATAGGAGAAACTATATGAATTGATTTTTCTATGCGTCTCATCAGGACTGAATTATCCAGTAATCAAAATAAACACATACATTTAGAGCAAGCGAGAAGTAAAGCATTTAAGATCACCATACATTAATATGCATCTAAATTATATTACTTTGGCTTAAAACATCATCATCAGAAAACCAAAACTTTATTAAACTTTCTTTTACCTATTTGGGATTTAATTTTTAAATATATATATATATATATATATATATATATATATGCATATATTGCACTGCAAAGCTGCTCAAGATTTAGTCCCTTTTAGCCAGTTACCAGTGACTCACATCTGTAATCCTAGCTACTCAGGAGACTGAGATCTAAGGATTGAGGTTCAAAGCCAGCCCAGGCAGGAAAGTCCATGAGACTCTTAACTCCAATTAACCACCAGAAAACCGGAAATGGCGCTGTGGCTCAAGTGATAGAGTGCTTGCCTTATGCTGAAGAGCCCAGGGACAGTGCTCAGGCCCAGAGTTCAAGCCCCACAACCAACAAAAACAAAAACAAAGGTTTGGTCCCTCTCAAACCTTTGATAGTGTCTGTGGTAGTGTTGTGTTTATGTGTATGTGAGCCTGCAGAAGAGCATGTATATATAAGTAACTGTCATTACTTCCAAGTAAATCAGTTTATCTTCTCCATATTAATGAGTATATGTCACAAACAATCACGAGAGGCATAAAAAGGAAACTTCAAAATAATACAATTCTTCCTGATAATTACTATGACATTCAATATTTGATTTTTAACCATATTCCAAATATAGGATATGAAGCCTGGCATGGTTTCTCAAGCTGCAATTCCAATTACTTCAGAGGCAGAAGCAGGACAGTCACAACTTTGAGGCCTAAGGGAGCAAGCTAATGGAACCTAGTCTCAAAACAGATTCATTCATAAAGCTGGGCACTGATGGCTCATGTTTGTAATCTTAGCTATTCAGGAGCCTGAGATCTGAGGATTATGGTTCAAAGCCAGGCCAGGCAGGAAAGTCTGTGAGACTCTTATCTCCAATAAACTACTCAGAGAAGCTTGAAAGTGGCACTGTGGCTTAAGTGGTAGAGCGCTAGCCTTGACCAGAAGAAACTCAGGGACAGCACCCTGGCCCTAAATTCGAGCTCCAGGACTGGCAAAAAAGGAAAGAAATTCACAAATTAGGAAATGCAAAAGATTTATAATTTATTGGGTAAGTGATACATTCTATAGCTTACTTGAGTCTTCTTATACACTAACTTTTATATAAAGCTATAAATTAAAAATTCTTTTGTGTGTGTGTGCCAGTTCTGGATTTTTTTTGTTTTTTCTTTTCGTTCCTTGGGGGGAGGAGGTCTGGGGCTTCTTTAATCTATCTTTTATGGGTGAAATGTCTGACAC